CAAAGTGCATAAAAATCAAAACATTTATCGAAATGTGTTCAGTTTGGTGCTGGTCCCCAAGTGGCCGATCGTTGGAAGACGTTCCCATCTTGGCATTCGCCACCACACATGTTCGTATAAGCTCCATCGTCTCTCATCTCCCAGCTCGTCACCCCATCGCCATCTTTTCCCGAATTGTTTCCCGGCCCTCCACAACCGGTCCATCCCCACACATCTTGATGGATGTACCAATTGCCGGAGTTGCGTGCCTCTTCGCCGTTGTGATTCGCGTAACACCAGAAGCATGTCGTACGCGAGAAGTTCTCCTTGAAGCCCCAGCCTAGTGCCTAGAAGATACAGAATTCGAATGGAAGGGAAAAGTTTTGAGTTTTGAGTCACTGTTGCTAGCCTCATGTTGGTAAGTTCTTCTTCAAGGATCTTCAAGGGTACTTCAAGGACTCTAGTTTTAAAAGATTTAAAAACAAGTCTATAATAGAAACGAAAATAATTCTATTGCATCTCATTCGAAACTTGAAATTTGGTATTTCAATTCGCCACCACGTCACCTGTCCATTCTGCAATGTCCAAAAGCCGTTCTCATCGGCGCCGTCACCGAGAATCGTGTCATCAGCCGATGCACATTTGAGATAAATCGACGCCGAGCAATTGTTGTACACGATCACTTTGTATTCCTCGTTGATTGTCTTGACTAGATCCGAAACGGCTTTCCCAAAATCGAGCACCCCACCGCCACAGTAAGCGAACGAATTCAGAAGAGCCGAAACGGTTAGGAGAATTCGAATCCCAAACATTGGAAATGATTGGAAATGTTCAGTTAATGAATTACCCTAATGTTCTCGTATTTATATCAAACTTTGGCACTCCGCAAATAAATATTTTGTTCACAAAGGAATAACATCTGATGTATTATTGTGTGTTCTCAATAGAACTCTCGACAGACTGTTGCTCTTTTGATTCTTTTGATTCTTTTTCTATTGTTGTGGTCACAAAGTTGTAAAAAGGCATCAGTATTGTATTCTAAAATGTTAAAAATGTAATTATACATTTTTTGGACAAAATAAAGACTTGTACCAGAATGTACGCAAAATCGAAAACATGTTTAAATTGCCAGAGAGGGAAATTTTCGATTAGCCGATCTAAAAGTCACTAGTGTCCCACTCATGAATTGTTCACAGGTTAATCTTAAATTTTGTTAATTCTTTATTCTATTAAAGTTTAGTTGACATCATGAACTTTTCTTTATGAAGATGATGATACTTATCTGCGTAGACGAAGAAAGGAGATGCTGGATGCAGTCGATATTACAAACTCGATATTACAGGAATCTAGAAATCAGTTTTTGAAAAACGAAGTGTTTTGCTTTTATTAGGTGAAGATGACATTTACCCTTTTGAGATCAGATACATTGACTTAGATCCTCTTTATCATTAACTTTGTAGACATGTGTGTGTGTGAGTTGCCAGTGGTTTCTCTAGGTGATATAACACAGATAAATATGCAAAGTAGTAGCTTAGCAAATAATAGGTTAGTTAAAGTTTATGGTTGGGTTGTTTTGGATTTAAACAGCGATGTTCAGCAATTCTCAGCAACTTGATCACAATCTATGCTTGTGCCAGAAACACTCGAAATGCAGCAGAAGGGTGGGATCGATAGCGAAACGCATTTCCAGTGATCTTCATGACTATACTTTGCTCATTGAATCGAAAAATGATGAATTCAAGTGCGGTCACCACGGGAGCGAAAACTACTTGCATGACAAATAAAACAGATTGTAAAATTGCCCTTTTCAGCTTATCTCTTAGTCAATTTATTGCCAATTCAGTTCCACGCTATTTTTTTTGCATGCTATCATCCTACGATTTGATTTATTCAGCTTTTCTTTTCAATTGATGATAATAAAAAGTTTTGTTGTTTTGATGGCTTAGAAACAGTTTAGTGATTTCAAAAATTTGAAGCTAATTGCAAGACATGTCTGAATGATACAGTCAGAATTGTTTCCAGATCTAAATTTTCAGATCAACACAAAAAACAAGATCAAAAATTGGCTAGTCATAATGAAAACTGAAATTCAATTTCAGATGCAAGAAATTTCACGTTTGTTGCTCTTTCTTCTTTTTCTATTTACCACTGGGTATTCATTGAAATGCTGGTTGGATGTGAGCAGTAAGCCGTTTCATTCGGTTAATGTAAGTGCTTAAAGAAATGACGACAGAATATTCAGTTAAGAAAGAAATGAAACATTTAAACATTTAAACATGAAACATTCTATCATTTTTCAATAGTTTTTGCCAGCTGAAAAACACAAAATTCACGACCGTCATAAAAAGAAATGCTACAGGGTGTTCAAGAAGCATGTCAATGTGGCGAATCATGCATAATATTCTATACAGCGGTAAGTTTACAATGACCGCTCTTTAGAAAGCACAAATTGTAGGGTTTCTATTATTGGGAATGTGCATGTGAGGTGCCGGAAGAGGGCCCACAAATTGACTTCTGTCCAACGAATGAGATATTCGATGAGTACATATGTTGTCAGGGGGATTTGTGCAATGCCGTCAATTGGACCCAACCAACAACGATCAGGTAGAAAGGGAAATTTTTACAATTATTAGGTCACTAATAATAAATTCGGGTTTTCACATAAAACTTTTTTCTGAAGGAATGTAGTTACCAATTAATTTATTACCGTCAAATCTCTGCCCGCTAGTCCTCCTATTTTTTGCAAAGCTTCCAAATGATGACCTCCCAAAGATAATCGAATTTTCCCGGCAAAATTTTACCTTTTTGAAAAATTTATTAACTGTCAACTGTTGGAAATGATTGATGAAAATGAGACTGATGTAAAGACACTTCATGAAAAGGAATAAGTCATGTTGATGTGCACTAATTGAAACCTAATCAAAACCTAATCCAAACCTAATCAAAACCTAATCCAAACCTAATCCAAACCGAATGAAAGCCTACCTAATCGGTAACAAATAAGCGCCAAATAAGAACCTAATCGGAACCTAATTTATGATCAAAAGAGTAAGCATTTGCACGACGGCAGAATGCAGCTATATTTAAGGCTGGTCCAAATCGCCTGAAAAGGCAAAAGCCAAGGCCAAGGCTATTGCTTTGGCATTGGCTTGGCTTGAGAATTGGGTATCGGAACAACCCTGGTCGTGTTCGCGCAATAAACTTCAGCAAAGGGTCCATTGGACTGATTTCACCGATACCGTCCAACTTAAAGCCAACAATTATCTTAAAGCATCCAGTTTTGGTTGTCTAAAAATTCCGAACATATTTGCCAAATTTTCTTCACAACATTTTTATGGGTTAAGAAAAAAAAAATAAGCGCCCCCTCCCCTTTTAATAAATGTCCCGGGGCTTTAATTACAGATTTACAGACGGTTATTGGTTTTTTTACCAGTCAGCACTCATATTTACTAATAATATCAATATCAATAAATTTAGCACAAATTCGCCTACTACATCTGCAACGACGAAACTAAAGTGTTGGTCGGATGAAAACAACAAACCACATCATTCGATATTTGTGAGTTGAGCAAAAAATGAATGCTTCAAATTGTTAGTGATACAAATGGTTTTCTGTAAGAGAAAGCTTTTTGCAATAGGACAGCTAAAAGTAGACCTTAAAAAGCAAATGGACAAGTTTGAATATTTAAAATTGAGTACTTGATGTTAAACAAAGGCAAATGTGGCACATTACAATTGATTTTCATTACAATTACATTACAATTGATACTAAAAAAAGTTTCTGTGTAACATTGAAATCATTTAGAATGCTCAAGTCGAATGTGATTGTGGCGATTCGTGCATCACAGCACATACTGGAGTACCTGTCTACCTGTGTAAACCCTAAACAGAAATATTTTAGGATTTGTACCTGTGGGATTGTGCGTGTGCGCATACGATCGACGGAACAAATCTTAATATGTGCCCGACGAACACCGCCTACAAAGAGTACACATGTTGTATGGGGGATTTGTGCAATGCGGCCAATTGGACAGAGCCAACATCAACAACGAGCACTCCATCATCCGCGGTGACTTGTTGGGTCGACGAAACGGACACACCGTATCGATCGGATCAAGTAAACTTGAAGCGAGCCCCGGGATTTGAATAGTACTCAAGCTCTTAGGCCATTCAACGTCCTTGTGATTGTGGTGACTCTTGTCTGATTGGATATTTCACGGTGGGCCGACTCAAATCGTTTCCCATTATGCCGTTTTCTTTAGGACGATGACCAAAACAACAAATATTTTTGGTGGTGTGGCTGTGAGATTGAAAAAAACGGCATTGAAAAAACGAATTGTCCGACAAACAACCTATTCGATGGGTACACTTGTTGCACGGGAAACTTGTGTAATTCGGGAAACTGGACGGACCCATCAACGACGACCTCAATGGATAAGACAACGCCGCAGCCATCCAAGGGTTCATTTATTAGTTGTTGGAGTGACGAGAACGATCAGCCGTATCACTCCGACTTGGCGAGTTGAGTTAGACTGAGTGCGAGGATTCGTTTTTAGGCAAAAGCAGTTGAATGTCAATGTGGAGAGTATTGCATCATGGGATATTTTGTAAGTGTTTCTTCAGAAAAAAGAAAAGTTCCTTAAAGTGTTCATGTTACAACAAATTTCTATTAAATTTCTATAAATTTGAGACGGAAGAAGGGCTCACTGTGTACGCATGGGATTGTGCTTGTGATTTGCATATTGGAGGGAATGAGATTTGCCCGACGAATGATCTTTTTGATGAATATGTGTGCTGTAAAGGAGATCTGTGTAATGCAGCCAATTGGACAGACCCAACAACAACATCAATTAGGTTTGAATCGACAATGTCAAAGCCTAGCATTAATTTAAAGCACGGATTTGACGCCAAGTGATTCATCTACGCAATCATCTATCGTCACGTGTTGGCTAGACGAAAATGATCAACCGTATCACTCGGATGAGGTGACTTCAAGACTTGTTAGGTGTTGAAGTTTTACTTTGTCAGTACTGACAATGGGTGGATTCATAATTCATAACATTCATATTGGATTGATAACAAAAAAACCTAACATTGGATTATGGATTCATAAAAAAATATTCTTTCTTTAGGCTTTTCAATACGATTGCGTTTGTGGCGACTCGTGCATAACGGGACATGTTACGGTGAATATGATAGTCAATGTTTTGACTCATCACATTTCAGACCATGTCTCTTGACGTTTATGTATGGGGATGTGCATGTGTATATGATAATATTAATAACACATATGTCGATCTCTGTCCATTGAATGATCTCTTTGAAGAGCATGTGTGCTGTGTGGGTGATTTGTGTAATGCCGTGAATTGGACTGAGCCAACGAATAAACCTTCGACGACTCTGAATCCGAATGTGACAACGATTTGTTGGTTGGACACGAACAGTGAGCCGTTTCATACGGATCTAGTCAGTGATGAGAGAAAAGCATTTCCGATTCAAATTGTTTAGGCGATCGAGGTGGAATGTCTGTGTGGCGATAGTTGTTTCATGGGACACATCGTAGGTTTTTACTGTTAGTTAATGTCGGGAATGATTTCAGGATCTCTTGGAATTTTTTGATGAGTATGTTTGGGATTGTGGATGTGATCGACTCGGCGTTACACTTTGCCCTTCAAATGACATATTCGACGAGACGAGATGTTGTCAGGGAGCTTTGTGTAATGCCGGAAACTGGTCGGATTCAACCACTACAACCACTACAACTACAATGACCACACCTACAACTATCAGGTTTTCTGTTTCTTTGTGTTTAGACGATCGACAACTTTAGCACAATTGTGACAACGAGCTCCGTCTCTACAACAGTCAAATGCTGGCTGGACGAAAGCAGTAAACCATATCACTCTTCATTTGTGAGTAATAGTTGAATCGAGCTTCTTCTATTGTCTGCACAATTGAATAACTTATTTAGGCAAAGCAAGTGGTGTGTGATTGTGGTGACTCGTGTATTACTGCATATGCTCAAGTGAGGAATTTTGTCGTGCAATAAACACATTATCATTAGGAAGGAAGAAGCAGACTATACGTTTGGGGTTGTGGCTGTGAGATTATTTCGGACGAAGTGAATCTCTGTCCAACAAATGACCTATACGATGATTATGTGTGCTGTAAAGGGGATTTGTGTAACGGAAATTGGACTGAGCCAACAACAATCGCCACATCAACACCAAAAACCACGATGAGGTTTGGTGAAAACGATTCTTCTTTGATTTGTCAATCGAATTAGCATTACAACATCTGCAGCTTCAACGCTAAAATGCTGGTCGGACGAAAGCCTTCATCCATACCATTCGGCTTCGGTACAAATTTCAAAATTCCCATTATAGTTACAAAGTTCAAAAGTAAATGACTTATTGAATAACTTTAAGGAACACAAAATTGTTCATCTAGAACTGTTCAAGTGCAAGTAGAAATTGTATTATTTTATGAGCAAGAGTTGTTTCACTGACTTTGACCGGTTGAATTTGATTTCGGTTTGACCGGCTATGTTTGCTTTTTTCGCAAAAATTTAAAAAATTGCAATTCAAAATTAGATAAATTCAAATTAGAATTAAGTCAGTAGACAAAATTCGTTCATCTTGTCAACAGAAAACATCAAAAACTCATTTTTTAGAACTCACAAGTGACATGTGACTGTGGTGATTCGTGCATAACGGCCTTTTGGACTGTAGGCCAATTCTCAAGTTTTTGTCTGAAACACAAAAAACCGTTAAGCAACAACTTGGCGAGTTGATCTATATGTGGGGCTGTGCGTGTAGCGAAAGGAAAGATGGGGCAGAAATTGATTTGTGTCCATCGAATGGCCTCTATGATGGATACGAGTGCTGCAAAGGGGACCTGTGCAATGCGGGCAATTGGACCGAACCAACGACAACAGCAGCTTCAACGACGGTGCTCCCTAGCGTGACAATCACTTGTGTATTCGATGTGACCGATCAGCCGTTTCACTCGAACTCGGTGGGTGAAGGAAATGGAAAGTTTTTTGACTGTAGTATTCAGGTATCTCAAATCAATTGCACTTGTGGCGATTCCTGCTTTATGGGATATTTTGTAGGTTTTATGAATTTTGTAATAATGTCTGTTTGTAGGTGCTTTGTGGGTTTTACGGTAAAAATGTACTCATTTGAGAACTACACGCCGGAGTCCAGAAACGTGTACGATTGGACGTGTGGATGCGACGCTGTTGCCGGGAATTTGTGCCCAACGAACGACATCTTCGATGAATACGTGTGCTGCAAGGGAGATCTGTGCAATGCGGGCAATTGGACGAGCACAACAACGGCCGCGCCGACCACTGTCCGACCCACGACTAAAGCCGCATCAACTGTCACCACTGCAGGGACTGCTACTACGATTGGTAACACAACTTCGAGTTCGAGCACCAATGCAACAACAGCACGCATCAGTACTACTACTGCAAAAACGACGAGAAAAGCAACAACAATTACCATTACCGCAACGACTTCCATTTTTCCAGACACAGGTGATAAGTTCCGAATCTCGTTGTTCACTGCCTTTCTATTGAATATTTTAGTTTGGATTTGATATCTTTGTTTGAAAGATATTTTGCTTGAGGTTCAAAGTGTAAATAAAAAGCTAGTGCTTTTAAAACGAAAATACAATTCATTGAACAGGAAAAAAGGAACAGTCTTGCAAAATAATATAAAGTAGAGGATGTTGACGGGTCGGGAAAAAAAATCATAACTTTGAAAAATGATAACTCTTTGACTCGGGAAGTTCTGAACATTTTTGCGACAGTTTTATTATCTTGTTCACAGTTGTTGTGCACAAATGAATGCCGTTCACTAAAAAAATGCAAAAAAAAACGTTAAACACAATGAATTAAAACAGTTTTCTGTATCGTATTCCCTTTTGAATCAGCTTTCAAATTGCAATTGGGGACTAAACTCGTTTAAATTGGTTGAGTTTGAGAGCTCTCCAAAAAACCGATAGAGCTTTCCAGCAAACCGATATGCTATTTTACTTACATTTGCTTAAGGCTCCATTCTGATTGCCGAAATTCGCTATCCATCAATCGTTTCATCGCGAAAGCCGAAATATTGAACTTCCTAAGCTTTGCACTCTTTCTTGAAACACAAGCACGCCGTTTCATAATTTACTTTACTTATATACTTTAAAAGTTTTTTGTAGATTTGCACGTCAAGAGAAATGACTGCTTCCTGTGATTAAGAAATCCCATACACAATTCGGTGCTTTCAAACCCAAAACGGAATTCGAATATGGCTTGCCATTGCGACCGCTATGGGAATAATTATTTTGACCATGCTTTTCATTGCCTCCCTCATTTTTTATGATTTCTATCATCCGCAAAAATATCTCAGCAAAAAGACTCTCGAGATGCAGCGCTATTTTAATGTTATTTACTTGGCACAGGTGCATTATTGCTCAATTTCTATATTTGTCTTGTAGAATATAATCACCGGCTTCTTTTGCTTACCAATCGCATGTTTTGTGGCTATTATTCTCCAATTCATCGCCTACGACTTCGTGGAAGCAAGTGAGCTGAATGTCGAGAATTGGTGTTGTAAAATCACTGTTCAGTTGCCGCTTACTGGCAGATGATTCTCTGTTTTCACTCGTCCTTTGTAAATCTTCTCATCATTTTCGCCTCGAAGTCATATCGAGAAGTGATTGTCGGTTGGATTCGAAGGATTCCGATCTTCCGTTGCATATCGGTCAAAGCGATAAACGCTGACACGGTCACGAATAGCAATACGACACACTCTGTAATCATCGTTCGAGCGGCTCGATAAGCTGGCTTTTGCGTGAAATTCTACAGTTCGTTCCCTGCTTGCACAGTGCATAAACTTTTGATTGCTCATTTTACCAGGCACTTAAAAGGCACTCCAGGCACATTTTACTAGACACTATCAGTCACATTTTACCAGGCTATTGGGTTGGTGAATTGAAAATTGCCGGACTTTGAACTAAAATTTATTCAACATAAAACCATAAATTCATTCCAAATAATTTCCATTATTATTGACGACTTCTGTCCATTTTACAGGCAATTTGCGGATTCCTCTTTAGGATTTAGGATTTTGGTTTGTGTGTGAGAAGTGTGAGACTCAAAAATGGAGGACTGGAGATGTCCCAGTTTGAGCACTTTCTTCAAAAGAAACCCATTTTGGTGTCAATGGAAAAGTTGTAGAGAATCAAAAATTAGGCTTATATCCAAATTTTCAGAATTTGGATATAAGCGTTCTGTAAGTACTATAAGATATAAGTACGAGGTGTTGGCGTGTGAAAAATTCATGAGTGGGACACTAGTGACTTTTAGATCGGCTAATCGAAAATTTCCCTCTCTGGCAATTTAAACATGTTTTCGATTTTGCGTACATTCTGGTACAAGTCTTTATTTTGTCCAAAAAATGTATAATTACATTTTTAACATTTTAGAATACAATACTGATGCCTTTTTACAACTTTGTGACCACAACAATAGAAAAAGAATCAAAAGAATCAAAAGAGCAACAGTCTGTCGAGAGTTCTATTGAGAACACACAATAATACATCAGATGTTATTCCTTTGTGAACAAAATATTTATTTGCGGAGTGCCAAAGTTTGATATAAATACGAGAACATTAGGGTAATTCATTAACTGAACATTTCCAATCATTTCCAATGTTTGGGATTCGAATTCTCCTAACCGTTTCGGCTCTTCTGAATTCGTTCGCTTACTGTGGCGGTGGGGTGCTCGATTTTGGGAAAGCCGTTTCGGATCTAGTCAAGACAATCAACGAGGAATACAAAGTGATCGTGTACAACAATTGCTCGGCGTCGATTTATCTCAAATGTGCATCGGCTGATGACACGATTCTCGGTGACGGCGCCGATGAGAACGGCTTTTGGACATTGCAGAATGGACAGGTGACGTGGTGGCGAATTGAAATACCAAAATCAAGTTTCGAATGAGATACAATAGATTTATTCTCGTTTCTATTTTTTATAGATTTGTTTTTTAAAGTTTTAAAACTAGAGTCCTTGAAGACAACTCTAGAACAACTTACCAACATGAGGCTAGCAACAGTGACTCAAAACTCAAAACTCAAAACTCAAAACTCAAAACTTTTCCCTTCCATTCGAATTCTGTATCTTCTAGGCACTAGGCTGGGGCTTCAAGGAGAACTTCTCGCGTACGACATGCTTCTGGTGTTACGCGAATCACAACGGCGAAGAGGCACGCAACTCCGGCAATTGGTACATCCATCAAGATGTGTGGGGATGGACCGGTTGTGGAGGGCCGGGAAACAATTCGGGAAAAGATGGCGATGGGGTGACGAGCTGGGAGATGAGAGACGATGGAGCTTATACGAACATGTGTGGTGGCGAATGCCAAGATGGGAACGTCTTCCAACGATCGGCCACTTGGGGACCAGCACCAAACTGAACACATTTCGATAAATGTTTTGATTTTTATGCACTTTGAACATTGAACAA